AAATATGAGTACTCATAAGGTTAATATGGGAAACTCCAGAGCCACTGGGGCGGAGCCCGAGAGTCCGACCAGAATAAAAACAGCTTAGTTTTCCTATTTAATGCCTAAAGAATCAGTGTACCAAATGTCAGCCTCCTAGGTAAATGGTAGAGATGTGAGTAAGAGAATTCGTGATGAGTGAGTGAGTCAGTCAGTGAGGGCTTTGCCTTTTATATATATAGATAAAAATCACGTTCACATGCATCATGTCAATTTAAATTCTGTAAATATTTCGAAATTGTATCTTTTGGGTTCCACACTGTGGTATAGCCTACATTCATCTTATTAAGGGATTATATTATATGATAGTTATAAATTGTTGTGACATTTGTATGTTTTTATTTCAACTATCCATAAATTGCATGAATTATAGACATAGATATAAAAAAATGTAAATATTTTTCCCAAACATAGAATGTGTATCTACTGTACACACACTGTTACTTATTCTTGTTACTGATTTTGTTATTTTTTATTAATAACCTTTTGTTCATGCTAAAAAAATAAGTTGAAGGACGATAATTGATCTTGGGGTTGATAACTCTCGTCAGGTAGACTCGTGTAAAATAAAACGTCACGATATCCAGCAGTATGGTACGGCCAGGACTGAAAATAACCGGGATATTTAAAAAGAACCCCTCTCAAAGGGTATAATTTGTGTCTTTGTAAGAAATATTAACAATAATCCGTATAATAAGACAAGCATGCCAGCTTTCTGTTATGATCTCAGACATAAGAGAGAACATTAATTATTCTTTTTTTAATTGTTAGCTTTACCTATCTGGTTTATATAAATATTTGGGAATGTATTTATTATTTATTAAAATTGCACAGCTGTATGGATTTAAAATAATATCAATGACATAATTATTGTTATTGAAAGCGAATTAAGTTCATCCAAAATACTGGACTCCATAAAAGGAGTATTTAAGAATTATTAAAGTTGCCATTAATGAACAAGCTCATTATACAGGGTGAGTTTTAAATGAGTCCCCCCTACTTTTTTTACATTTATAAAGTACTTCATTTTGACTGGGTATACATTTTTGGCCGCAATATTGGATACAAAAGATGATTTTCAAATATACAGGTCCGATTGTGTCCCATCGTTTCAAACTAGATTTTTACGCTGAATACGATGCTGCAATTTGTTTTTTTCAAAATCTTAATCCGTTAAAAAGTTATTAGCAATATTCAAAAATATTTTTTGTTTAAATTTTTATACGACGCAATGATAGAATTTGCCCCTAATCTCCTAAATTTTATAGAAAAAAAATGAAGATTAAGAGTTAAGACTCTGATTTTTGTAAGATCAAATTGACTTCTTGTTACCGAATTATTAATTTTTGGCCAATAAAATGTATATACAAAAATTATTTTCAAAAATTCCTAATAACTTTTTGACGGATTAAGATTTTGAAAAACGGATTGCAGCATTGTATTCAGCGTAAAAATCTAGTTTGAAACAATGGGTCCCAACCCCACCTTTACATTTTAAAATCATTTATTCGTCCAATATGGTGAATCCAACATGGTGGCCAAAAATGTTTACACAGTCAAAATGAAGTACTTTCTAATCTACAATGATCTGACGTGGTCCGGAGCTGATATCTTAAGAAATAGAGAAAAAGTAGGGGGGAACTCATTTAAAACTCACCCTGTATATAGCCCCATGCTATTATTAAAGTTTATGTAGGCGTTAAACATATTGTACCTTGTTATTTGTTTGTCAAATAAAAAGAAGACAATAGTTTACTATGTGTTTGTCTTACCGTTTAACATTATTGAAAGGTAACTTTATGAAAAAGAAAAACCTCAAGTGGAAAACCATTCTATTAAATAAATTTATCATAAAACTGACTACAATTAAAGAAACGAATCCTTTGTATTCCGTATGGCTTTGTGCTCAAATGCAAAGATTTTTCTTAGTTTCCCATTACTATCGCTGAACGGCTAAATGTCAGGGTTGATTACACGTGGGTTTCATATAATGATTTAAGTGGTTAAATATTTGCTTGTGTTTGTTGGTATGGATAATGTTTAATTTGTAGTAGGCCTAGCATAAAGTGTATTATGCAAATGATTAAAAATATGATGAAATAAAAATTTGTTTTTTAAAGTATGAATGACAAAATGTACATATGTGTACTCCTACAAAATAGTTTGTAGTAATTATTTGTCCAGAAAGAACGAAATCTTTGTAATAGGACTATAATGGTATCATAACAGCGCTCAATTGCCCAATGGAGTAATTTATAAGCTCCTATGTCTTAGATATCTGACGGTTTTTATAACAACATATATATTTTGTGAATTTTATATATTTTTCAAGATTTGCATACCGGTGGTTGATTTGATTACTTAGACCATAGACTAACCAACAAAAGTAGCCTTTCCACCACATTGTAAAATTTGAAGCTCGTTTTTCGTGTCTAGTTCATGTCTGGCGACGAAATTTTGTTTCTATTATTTTAGAGTTAATTTAATGATTAGTGCATTACTTTTTGGTAATATAACTTTACTTGAGTATGAGTTATTGTTTATAATTATATCGCTTTATTTGGTTAAACGAGGTTTTAAATTACTGAAATAGGCCTAGCAAGAAACAAATTGTAAACCAAACACGATCTCTGCAGTGCACCAGATAAAACTAACTATACAATTGGATTCAGTTGTTCCATAAAGATGAGAAATCTACTAAGGGAGTATGTTTTATATATGCTTAGACTTTACTTAAAATAATAAGGTTGCCTTACAAAATGTTTCGATTTATACATTAGCTTATAACTGTTTGTCTGTCATCTTGTGATTCTTTAAACTAACGTTATTATGCATAACATCTAACCTATCATTCAGACTATGGTGGTTATACCGTAAAATATCTTTGGGACTTTTGTCTACGATCTGTAGGCTATTCTCTTAAATGTAACTAACTGAAAGTACTAACCTTTCCGTAGAACTTATCTTGTTTGACTCATTACTCATTGTAAAAGATATATTTTACTTCAGCTTTTATTTTACTAAGTAGTTTTGACCCAAACTGCAACAAAAAACTCAATTTAATAATAAAAAAAACATAATTTAGTATTTATCTGTATACTACCATATTCGTAGGTTTATAAGTAAATTTATGAATTTTTAATTAAACTTTATGTTTTGCGGGGTCTCTTAAAAAGGTATTCTAAATGTAAACGAAGACAGTTTTAATTTTTTTAACTATGGTAATGAGCAAAGATTCATCGTTCTATTGAAACATAAATTTCTGAACGATCACTTGGTGATATCACGAACGAGGGCTGAATATAAACTACTGTTTTTTACGTTCATGTTTTCCTCGTTTACCGTTATCTCCCCTCGATCGCAGAAGGTAAAGGACTCGCTCATGTTTTAAGTCAGTACTTTGTATTCTATACTGAAATCTATTGGCGGTCTAATATGTTTGTTTATTAATTTGATCGCTTGCCATTTAGTACATTGTAATAAACATTGTTTCCTTTTTCTAGCATCTGGTCCAAAGTTTTGTGACAAGTGTGTATGATTTTGTATTTCAAAAAAATAAATATTATAAATATTAAGTTTTATGCTGCAAAGTTGTATGATATGTGCTATTCGGTTATAATGTACGAATTTTAATAAAACATTGTTGTTAGTTAACATTTTCCCATCATGGACTCTTACTGAATCCAACAGATTGAATAGAGTAATTAATTTTAGTGTATATAAATTTGTATTGCACCTGCTTACACAATTGGGATCAGCCCTTTATTTCCATTCGTCGCATTATATTTTTTTCATAATTGTTATTCGTCAACGTTTTTTTTAATGATTGCCCCATAATTATGAGTAGCCATACGCATCTTTTTTTAGCTAGCAATATCAGAGTTTAGATTTAAGTGTCCTTGGAGCCTAGACAGTCTAACTCGTAAAATAATTAAAGAGCTACAAATAAAATTTCTAATCCTACAGTATACTAGATATTTACACTACTCTGGAGTTTGAAAAAATATTTTGAAATTGTAAATAAATCTGCAGCGGCTGTTTGAAATTAACGAAATCAACATTGCTCTTATGGTGGGCAAATTCAATAAGGCCGTTAGCTTTCATGGACTCCCTAGGAGAAGAATTCAAAACTACAAAGAACTTTTCAAATCTCACAGTATACTAGATATTTATATTTAAACTACATGTATAATCACTTTGGTGTTTGAACAACTATTTTTGGACGGTAAATAGGCGATATTCAGCAGCTGTTATAAATTAGGTGGCCACTAGCCTCCAAAGACTCTTAAAACGGTTACCCAAAGAACTTCAATTGGCTGCCTAATTGTATTTAAAAGATAAACTTAATAAAAATTATGTTTTTCTTCTTTGCCTTCAACTGCTTTTGCTCATTTTTCAAACTTTGTTTCTAACCTCATTAAAAATTAGTTTGTTAAGACCCACTTTACTAATGAATAACATAATTACCTTATGACTAAATTAGTCAACTAAGGGGCTAGACACCATTTTTCTGTTTTCTGGAAAAGTAACGTTAAATTATACTGTAGTAAACCAACCTTTTTTCACTAATTTTATGACATATTTCTGATGAATGGTCAGCCACTGAAGCAGCGTAGCAAGTCCCGTCATCTGCAGAGAGGATATTTATTGTTGAATTATTCTGCAACCCTACAAGGGCCATGTCACTTGCTGGGGATTTTAATCTTAAAATGAACTGTATGACAACATTTATAATTACTGCGATTGATATTATGTGTGACGGAGTTGTTTTACCTATTCTTTTAGCAAACACAGTACAAAGTTTTTTTGTGTTTAAGCTATAAAAAAATAATAAGAGGAACGATCGTGTACAGGAAAAAGGGGTTTGCGCGTTTAAATGTATTATATTGACTATTCGAAAAATTAAATGACTTCTAATCTGAACGTTTCTAGGAAACAAACAATTCATCCAACTTTTTTATTTGAATGGATTAATAAATCAAAACACACACAAGGCACCTTCTAAATTCTAAAATGCCTAGATATATTTTAGACTTATATGTCCCCAAACCTAACCTAGACCATTTTGAAACAAGTGAAACAGACGAAGACTATTCGAGTACCATGGAATCTGTAGGCGACCTCAAGAGAGTGCCTTATCAAAAGAGAGAATTGATGAACACCTACCTTAACTACCAAAAGGGTCATAAAAGTATGATTGAGGCAGGTGATCCTATAGTGATCAAGGAAATAGCTGAAAAGGAGTATCCTTGGATTAACAAAGGATTGGACGAGTTGAAATCTATGGATATCCAGAACGTTTCTCGGGATCACGGCGATGACCACTTCAAGCAAGTGTTGAGCTTGAAAGCTCCTAATGCTCAAAGGACGTCCGATCTTTTAGAACAGGTTGGTTTTAGAGTATAAGCTTATTTTACTACCCAAAAAAAATTTTAAAGCTAGCATTGATAGTTTATTGGGCTTTATTGTATAATAAATACCAAAACAGCTATATAAGGCATATAATACTATTTACCAATTAGCCGATATGTAATTTTAAATATATCTGATCAAACTTCATTTGACAACAGCAAATTCTTCTGAATTAAGTAAACAGCGCTAATTGCATGAATGTTGGTTCTGTCGCTACTATATCAAATCCAGCTCCTTAACCCAAGTTAGCGCTTCTTCTAAACTTTCAAGACGATTTTCACACCAATACAGCTTGTAAAGGCCAATCCCTCACTTCATCACCCATTGTCTGAGATTCTGCTTCCCAGCCCAATACTAACTGGGAACCTCCTATAACCACACTTCTAGGAGTGGGCACTTCTCGTACCTATATTGTTACGAACCCGTTATAACACGGTCCACTTCTTTCTGATGAACTACACACAATGTTTTCTGAGATATAGGTAATGTTTCTCCTCATAAACGTAAACCAGATTGTTTTTATTCTTCCATCTAAAAGGCAGTTTGCAATAGTGGATTCCAAATATATATATATATAAACATAATTTGGATAAAATTACATGTATTTTTTCAGGTGGTAGAGTTGGAAGCAGATCTAAAAGGAAAACTGAAAGACCTTTCAGAATTTAAGGAAGAAATCAAAGAATTGGGAAAACTTCTTAGGACAACGCCTTCGAGAAGGAGCACTGTTGACTGATATTTTTATGCCTCTAACTTAAATGTGTCTCTGAATTTAAAACCTGTATGTGTACAATATGTGATTATTTATGACCAAGTACTCAAATAGATTTTTCACAGAAGAATTGTTTTAGTATTATGGTTTCAATAGTCTTGGTGGTTGGTTAGTTACTTAGCTATGAAAAATAAAACTTCCATATGCATTTGTATGTTTTAATTTTAGGTAATGACAAATTATTTCCGGTTCTTTTAGAAAGCATGGAAATCATTCCACGAGAAAGTATGCAATGAGTGCATAAATCTTCATCTGGAAAAATACAGTATTTCTGTCCATAAAAAAATATTCCTACCTTTCACAAATGTCTACATAATACATTTTAAACATTCCATTCCCGTGTTAAATTTGTTGCCGGATTTTTAACAAATTCGTCGTAGTTGATGTGAACCACCGACAGATTGCGTTGATCTAAATAAAAAAAAATTGTCGAACAAATTTTTAGGGAATGACTTATGGTGAGACTTATAGCAACTGTTATGGTCGATTAACCTGGTCGGCAACAAAAAATAACTGTGCGCGTTCTCTGACTGTCACACAAACGTTCTTTTTTAATAAAAAATTGTGACAGCTGGTCCGTAAAGATGGGATGTCTACTTCTTCAATAAACTTCTTAAATTTTGTCTGATTAACCTGTTCATGTATTATGAATACATAGATTTTAAAATAAGACGTGTACTTTTTAACTGTCGTATTTTACTCATTTATGATCAGAAATCACATAATGAAAATCCCATGTTAAATGAAAAGGCTTGTCGATGGTACCTATGTCATTTATAATACACCCGCATCCGCGTCATAATTACTTCAAACTTATTTTATGAACAATATTGTTCATACATTTTCGCATAAACTTATGCAAATAAATTTATATTAGGCTATAATTTTCTTTTGTATATAAAATATTTAATTAAATTAATATCCAGATAAGATTATTATTCCACTAGATAAGTCGTAGACGTACAGGAGAATATTTTGTTTTGATCTCAGAAAAAGGATTATTTGTCATCCTAAGAAATAGTCTATTTAAGTTTGAGATATATGATTCAAAGCAAAGATTTTGGCCTTTAATAGCATTTTATATTTTGGCTAAACTAATGTAAATTCAGAGTTGAAATAGTCAGCCTGTCTGGTTAAAGCCGTAGTTGATCCAGAATAGGCAGATCAATTAAGTTATATTATTCTAGCAACGACTTGAAACATTAAGTCCTCTAAGGCTTAACTGAGATTCTAATGGTATGGTATTGCTACTGAATATACATAATGGTTTGTATTGGTAATATAATGGTTTGTATACTACCTCAGTAGGAATCATAGAAATAGTAGAATCAACCATACCTTGGAGTTAGGCCAAATGAACTTGTAGGCCTATTGAACTTCTGAGAATTAGTATTACAGGTCAAATATAGTTCAAATAACGAGTGGTTTACTATGAAGTATTAAATTCAAGATACTAAAATACACTTAGGGGGTTTTTGCCTATTATTTTTATTTCAACAATAAATCCCGTAGTTATTTTGTATCAGTATTCAAGCTAGCCACGATATTTGACTTATGCTACTTCAATTGCAGTTATTGAAACCTGAACTGTGTTTATGCAGTAAGCTTTTAGAGCGTAAATGGTTTTTATGGTTAAATTACATTGTGAGCCTTACTACTCTGGTGAACAATCTATACTTTTATTTCACTTGAAATTTTTAGTTTGGGTAATGTTTAAGATAGAATCATATAGTGACCAATACACATGTCAAATCAATAAGGGAGCGTTTAATTTATGTTTTAACTATTCTCTTATTTTTCTTAAGCATTACTAATAATTTAATGCCAGTTCACAGCCATAAGTCATGTCATTTGGCGATCCTGAGACCGCTTAGAGCTTGCAGGCCTTGGCAGATCGAACATCAGCATCGCTTTCTAATCTAACTTTAAATCATTAAATGTGTCCTTCGTTTTGATTTATCCATTGCCTTACTCATTCCCTTTTTACACTTGCATGAAATTAGTTAAATAAACAATAGTATTATTAAATACATGTGAAGAATGTTGAAATTACACAATTAGTAATGTATTTTCATACAATCATTTAAGAGTTATCCCTATAAACGATTTGTAAACACATATAGACAATATTTTTTAATTCCAACATCTTAAGAACCATTCGAGGTTGCAAAAAAGATTTTCTTTTCCCTACCCTCTAAACGTATTTATATAGTGTTTTCCAGTCTTTTTATTTTTGTTTGAACGGGTTAAATTCTTTCTTTAGTTTCTGAATGCTATCTGTCATTGAAGTTTTTGTTCGGCATTCAGTGTTTCCTATGTTTCCGTTTTGCTGAAAAAATGGAGCTGTTTGTACTTAAACCCCATGGAATCTTGCCATTTCGTCAACTTTCAAACATGAATGAGTGTAGTTTTCATGTTTCCGTAATTTGTGATTGATAAAATTGTTTACGAATTCGTTTTGGAACATTATAAGTACACGACAAGACTCGTGTGCAAATAATGAATTGTGCATTTTAATAGTGTTTAAAACTCGTTTGCGAGGCAAAGCGAAGAATGCAGTTCACCTATCAAAGATTAATATTTGTTTAGGACAGTTAGTAACAGAACTGAGGATCTGTGAATCGTAAAAATACATCTAGGAATAAATTTATCTGGGGGGAAGAAGCCCACAAGGAAAATACTTCTTTTATTACCATTCGTCTGTCCATCCACTAAATGATAAGTTGAAAAGACACCTCAATCGTAGAATCGTATTATTATTGTATCAAGATACATAATTGGCAAACATATACTTTAAACGAAACCGCATATCACAGCCAGTAGCTAAACTAGCTCTCCATCTCGATTCTTACTATACACTTATCATGCATATTCCGATTTAAAGATATTCAGAAAATGTATTATGTTCTTGAGAAAGTGGTTATTATCAAGACAAGGGATAACATTACAAACACAGAGAGCTTGATTAATTACGAAAGATAGAACGTGATTTATTCCAGCAGCATTGTTTTGATGTTAATTAAATAATCTGTTAAAAATAAACATTCCTGAGTTTGAGTTAAATAAGGTTTTTTGATTAAGAGACGCTCCACATCGTAAATAAATAAATAATGTGAGAGTCTTGTATTGTTCCAGATTAGGACCCCAGCTTGAGTGATTTATTATTCACAACATGGGGTGATGGAGCGTAGGCCTGGTCAGGAAGAAGATATTAGCTGTGACCTCTCGAATGGTTTTTTTCTCTTTGGAAGAAGAAAACTTACAAATCCCTTTAGTTGGTTTTTTTTTTTTTACTGCAACAACTATTTCTCGATACTTAATAATTCCTAAATACACCTTAAATCATGAACACAAGTGGAAAGTTAAGTACAATTTCTAAGAGGGAGACGTGTATTTTTTTCAATATTGGATAATATATTGACGGGGAGTAAGGTGTTGAACGTGGGGAAACTTACCCTCCATGCGATACAAATGGGAGAAGGGGAAGAAACCAGAAAGTTAATGACCCCTGAACTTCTGTCTTGGGAACCAAGACTACTTTACAGAGTGCATGGTTCTCATGGATAGTATTACTGTAACCAGAGTGTTGATATTGACTTTTGGATCACGGCCACCTTTAACTCTAGGTAGAATTGGCAACGTCGCAAGTAGTCCTGTATAACGCCAGAGCAACAGAGCTGTTTAAGCTAACATGGCAGACAGGTGACGCTCTCTGGTTTGATCACGTGTTATTCATATTGTTGAACAGCACTAATGACAATGTTGCCACTTCGAACGCCGCGGCCTGGAGCTAAAGGTGGCCGTGTTTGGTTGCTGAAGTAGATGTTGCATCTAGATCATGTTTAAACAATATTCTATTCACAAGGAATTTAGTTGAATAACCAGCTCATAGATTGTGCAGCGGCCTAATTGTGATTCCCTCCTCAGTTTTGGTTTCTGTGATGAATGAACATTGAAGATACAATAATGTCTATATGATGCTGTAGACACAAAAAAATTGTATTTTTTATTGGCAGGGTTTAAAAATATAGATTATTCTACATAAATCAATAAATTACACCAGCGTGCTCTAATAGCTGTGTTCTATGTTTCGATTCAACTTACGTCCATCTTTCCTCTAAAGCTGCATCTTTAACATTGGGATGGAATGTCTACTTCTTAACCACAGACTAAAATCTCTAGCAAACATGTCCTCATAGTGATTGCAACATTTGTTGTTATCGTTATTTTACTAACCCAATAAACCTTGCAGATCCAGTAATGCATCTATATTACAGCAAGTACTTGAATAAGTGTAATAAAGTGTAGTAACCCACCTATAGTTTTCATAATTTATGTAAATTTACACTTTAATATTCAATAAGGAACAAACCAATTTTCATTTCCATTTCAGTAATATCTTTTGAATCAAACGTTTTCTTTAATTATGTTATTTAATTGATTTTTTCAAATGGAACGGAGAAGACTAACGGATGTTTCTATAACTACTAAAAATAGCAAGAATAAAATAAAACAGAATTATACAAACTTAATATTTTTAAGTTCATATATTTGATGGAAAACAACGGATATACGACGTAGGTTTGATCGGCTAAATATTAAAGAAAAAATAATTAAATTTAACAGTAACAGTTTATTATAGTCCAAAGAATTATCGTAAACTCTTATGAACACAGTATTGAGAAGATCTTAAAAATAAAGATGTATTTTACGTTTGCTAATAAACAAGTTTCTCATAAAATACCTAGTAATGGGTTAATACATACAAACAATTAATAAAATTCAATGCATTAATAAATTTTGCCAAAATCTTTATTCAGATCCCAGCAACCCTACAAGCAAACTTAAACACTCGTTTTCACCACAAGCAGTATCTCTGGAAACTTTTTGGGAGTATTGTTGAAAATGGGAGTAAAATTTTTAACTATTGAACGTTTTGATAACTCATTCTTGAGAAACTTTAGGACAGTTCTTACATCAATGTT